TGAAAAGCACTGTTTATTTTATTTGTCTTTGCACTCTTGTATTTGTTTGAGCTGTAGCTTGTAGTTAGAGTATTTGTTCTTATTATTTGACAGCATAGTTATTTTTTTCCTAAACACAGCACATACCGAACCGTTATGAAACAGTGACTCTAAAACCATGATACAAACCGAACCGTGAGAAATTTGAACCATTGCACCCCTAATGTTTACCTCTACTAGAATGAAATCGGGCTGGACGGTATATCGAGTTTGTATGAAATATCGATATATATATTTTTACAAGCGATATGGTATGAGGCAATACCGTTTATATCGATATACAGTCTTCTGACACGAGCGCATCTGAAAAATGTAGCGGAGGACACAGAGTGAGCTGCTGCAGAGAGGCAAACTTAATATGAAGGGCTTTAAAAACTTGTAAGATATAGTATAGTTTTTCCACCTTTTTCCTACGCCCCATGACGCTCTGTGTAAATTATAGGAGTAACTTCCTTTTACACTGTAAACAATCAGCAAAAGGTTCGCTCTATGAACGCAATAAGCATTTTCAAAAACTGGGTACCAAGGTTATAATAGTTTTGCATTTTTAAATTCGTTTTATTTTAATATCGTTTTCAAATTTGCAATAAAATTCAGTTTAGTTTTTATTAGTTTCATTAATCATTTTGTTAGTTTTTTTTGTGAACACATTTCTGTTTAGTTTTTATATAGTTTAGTTTCAGTTTTAGATTTTGTTTCGATTTAAAGTTTAGCAGAATTAACAATAGTATTTACGCTGTCATTTGCAGGGTCAGGGCGGGTACAGAATTAAATTAGTTCTTCTGTCGGATAACGGATCGGTTGTTCTTTTAAGCACTGCGGGTTAGGGGTGGGAATCACCAGAGGCCCCACGATACAATATTATCACGATACAATTAAAAAAGTATTGCGATATTCTGCGATATATTGCAATTGAATACCTTTTTCCAAATTCAAATTATGTCCCCAAATGAAAACTTTGGCAACATCTGTTTTAACTAAAAATAAAAAAAATTCAGTTAAATATTATTGCTGCAATGCAAAATTGGATTGTGAAGCAGACAAACTGACCAACACTTTCATGAAAACCTGTCATAAATGATGTATGCACTTGGCAAACTCAACTATTTGTATTACAGTCTAGTCTAGTCCACCTTAATTAAATTTAAACAGGTATGCACTGCTGTGCTACTATAGGTATTTTGAACAATGTAACTTGAACTTGTACAAAAAAGTTGTGCAGACCCTTCAGCCATTGGGGCATTTGAAAGTAAATTACTGTTAAATTTAAAATAAATAAAACATAGTCTTAAATTTAATTTGCGGACAGGGCTTTCCTGATAACGTTCCGTGATGCCGCCATCTTTATTGTACTAACTTACTGCATGCTTAAAGGAACACTCCACTGTTTTTGAAAATAGGCTAATTTTCCAACTGCCCTAGAGTTAAACAGTTGAGTTTTACCGTTTTCGAATCCATTCAGCCGATCTCTGGGTCTGGCGGTAGCACTTTTAGATGTAGCTTAGCATAGATCATTGAATCTGATTAGACCGTTTGCATCTCGCTCAAAAATGACCGGCTTAATAATCAAGGAACCTTGCTGCCGTACCATGGGTGCAGCAGGTGCAATGATTTTACGCAGCGCCTGAAAATAGTCCCCAGCACGCTCCCTGTGCAAGCAGGGGGTCACATTGGTTATGTTGACGGAAGTTAGCGTTATTGTCAGGCGCTGCGTAATATCGGTAGCAAAGTTCCTTGATTATTACGCCGGAATGAGAGTATAGTTCCTAGCCATATCGGCCTAGAAAATCGCAACTTTTTCATTTTCCGTCGGTCTTAGTACACGATGTAACTACAGAAGAGTCAAGTTTTAAATAGGAAAAATATCGAAACTCTTTGGTCATTTTTGAGCGAGATGCTAACGGTCTAATCAGATTCAATGATCTATGCTAAGCTACAGCTAAGAGATCGGCTGAATGGATTCGAAAACGGTAAAACTCAACTGTTTCACTCTAGGGGAGTTGGAAAATGAGCCTATTTTCAAAAATAGTGGAGTGTTCCTTTAAGGTGACCCAGCTGACCGCGCCAGAAAAAAACTCAACACCACCATCTAGTGGATTGTAAAGAATTGATTTTATTATTCTACCAAATAGTAGAATAAAAGATCGATATTTGGCATCCGCGTATCGATACAGTATTGCCGCAGAAAATTTCGCGATACAATGCTTTATCAATTTTTTTCCCCCACCCCTACTGTGGGTGCAGGTTAATACAACAGGACCTGTGCTGGACTCTGCTTTAAACTGCTTAGCGTCTCTTCGTCAGATAACTTCACGTGCATGATGTGCCATTTACAGATATTTGGGCCACACAGCTCATATATATTTTTTCCGCTATGGGGAAACGATTGTTTATTTTTGGTAACTATTATTTTATGTCAGTTCGCTTTTCAATAACTGTTATTAGTTTCGTTTCGTTTGAGTTTTTTTTATTTTTGACTTTTATTTTCAGTTTACGAAAATGTTTTTTGATCAATCGTCTTCGTCTTAGTTTTTGTTTACGAAAATAACCTTGCTGGGTACAATGAGATGACATTATTTTACTCGCCCTTCAATCATTGATCATTAAAAGTATGGATGCATGATATTATCGGAACGTTTTCGGAATCGGGCGATATGTAGAAATATGTATGTGTAGAAACTATTGAGATATGTATACCAGAGACCAATATAAAAAAAATGTTGGCCAATTCGCACAGCCCTAGAAGAAAATATGATCGTTTTTCTTTTCTTTTTGAGTAAGCATTTTAACTTTAATATACAATTTTTGAAACTTTTCAACAGGAGGATGTTTGTAGTTCCGACCCGCTTCCTGGCTTCCGACAGCTTGGAAAGTTCTGTTCTCTGCTGGTGGAGATTGGTCTGACTGAGGACAAGTTGAGCCTAACAACACAACAGAGGAACAGGCTCATCGAAGCATGGAGTGCTGTAGAGGAACACGACAAACAACCACTTAAGTTTCACCAGCTCTACAAAACACACTGGGGTAATGCGCTTTATTGTCGCACAAAGAGAGACGATCTTGCACTGGCCCAGCAAGACATCAGTTCTCAGCACAACAGGCTGATGTACACACTAGTGAAACTTCTCTGGTTGGGGTCACATGAGAGTATAGTTCCTAGCCATATCGGCCTAGAAAATCGCAACTTTTTCATTTTCCGTCGGTCTTAGTACACGATGTAACTACAGAAGAGTCAAGTTTTAAATAGGAAAAATATCGAAACTCTTTGGTCATTTTTGAGCGAGATGCTAACGGTCTAATCAGATTCAATGATCTATGCTAAGCTACAGCTAAGAGATCGGCTGAATGGATTCGAAAACGGTAAAACTCAACTGTTTCACTCTAGGGGAGTTGGAAAATGAGCCTATTTTCAAAAATAGTGGAGTGTTCCTTTAAGGTGACCCAGCTGACCGCGCCAGAAAAAAACTCAACACCACCATCTAGTGGATTGTAAAGAATTGATTTTATTATTCTACCAAATAGTAGAATAAAAGATCGATATTTGGCATCCGCATATCGATACAGTATTGCCGCAGAAAATTTCGCGATACAATGCTTTATCAATTTTTTCCCCCCACCCCTACTGTGGGTGCAGGTTAATACAACAGGACCTGTGCTGGACTCTGCTTTAAACTGCTTAGCGTCTCTTCGTCAGATAACTTCACGTGCATGATGTGCCATTTACAGATATTTGGGCCACACAGCTCATATATATTTTTTCCGCTATGGGGAAACGATTATTTATTTTTGGTAACTATTATTTTATGTCAGTTCGCTTTTCAATAACTGTTATTAGTTTCGTTTCGTTTGAGTTTTTTTTATTTTTGACTTTTATTTTCAGTTTACGAAAATGTTTTTTGATCAATCGTCTTCGTCTTAGTTTTTGTTTACGAAAATAACCTTGCTGGGTACAATGAGATGACATTATTTTACTCGCCCTTCAATCATTGATCATTAAAAGTATGGATGCATGATATTATCGGAACGTTTTCGGAATCGGGCGATATGTAGAAATATGTATGTGTAGAAACTATTGAGATATGTATACCAGAGACCAATATAAAAAAAATGTTGGCCAATTCGCACAGCCCTAGAAGAAAATATGATCGTTTTTCTTTTCTTTTTGAGTAAGCATTTTAACTTTAATATACAATTTTTGAAACTTTTCAACAGGAGGATGTTTGTAGTTCCGACCCGCTTCCTGGCTTCCGACAGCTTGGAAAGTTCTGTTCTCTGCTGGTGGAGATTGGTCTGACTGAGGACAAGTTGAGCCTAACAACACAACAGAGGAACAGGCTCATCGAAGCATGGAGTGCTGTAGAGGAACACGACAAACAACCACTTAAGTTTCACCAGCTCTACAAAACACACTGGGGTAATGCGCTTTATTGTCGCACAAAGAGAGACGATCTTGCACTGGCCCAGCAAGACATCAGTTCTCAGCACAACAGGCTGATGTACACACTAGTGAAACTTCTCTGGTTGGGGTCACCGCACAGTACTCCGGCAAGCCCTGTAAAAACCACCATCGCAAAAGCCTATGAGAGAATTCAGCATCACGTATTGGTAGAGGATCCGGTTCTGAGCATACTGGGAATACCTTTGCCAAAAATTGACACCAAAACAGTCTGTGATTTTATCTGCCGTCAAGAGAGACTCGTCAACCTGCGGGCGACTGAATTGCCATCTGCTGCCGTGCTGAAGACCATGTTAATCTCTTCAAAAGAGCTACCTCTAGCTCCATGCCAGCCGTCCGTTCTCCCTCCACCTGACCTCCCACAGATAAAGTTTGAACACATTTCAAGCAAAGCAGGGACCATGGTTTTAAAAGGAAATACAGACACTGCGATGCCAGATCCGAAGGCTCTGCTGCCATTACAACACAGTGAGTCTGCGCCAATTCCCCACTCACTACTGCCGGTCAGAGTATCTCGTGTGACTGATTGGAAAACGCCAGTCACTTCCATCATGATCAAACCTCTAGCTAAAATCGCTTCATCTGCCACACGAGTGATCCCAGCTACTTCCACCAACACAACACCAGTGCCGATGTCCACCAGCCAAACTGACACATCACAGAGTATTGACAGCCCTTCAGCCTGGGCCAGGGCTACACTGTATAAACGGAAACATACAGGCAATCTTACAAATGTTGGAATCAAGAAGTCACGTGTACAAAAATTGCCTGTTTGTACACTATGCAGCCAACCGACTCAGGGGCACAAAAAATACAAGAAGAAGACTTTTTGCCCTGTAAAAATGATGTCGACCTCAAAAGGACTTTGCAGCAGAGTCTACTCCAGTTACGAACATTTTACCTCAGTTGTAGACTTACGGCAATAAACTTGGGGTATGTTCACACTTGGCATGTTTGGTTCGATTAAAACAAACTCTGGTGCGATTGCTCTGTTAGTGCGGTTCGTTTGAGTAAGTGTGAACGCTACCATCTGAACCCTGGTGCGCACCAAACAAGCGGACCGAGACCGCTGAAAAGATGGGTCTCAGTCCACTTCCAAACGAGCTCTGGAACGGGTTGAATGATATATGAATGCAACACAGACCAAATACTTCTAAACGAACCAAAAACCGGAAGTAATGACAAGATGCGATGCTATGCAACCCGCAGCGCTGCTTTAAATCTAACGCACCTTTTGTTTGGGATGTTCTGTAAGTTTCGGCACGATATATACGTCATTCAAGCTGACCAATCAGGTTGTGAACGTATCACTATGCCTTTAGGTTCAGTGTCTTTAGGTTCGCTGTCAAAAAAGCCAATGTGAACGCTAAGAGGACCAGAACCCAAATGTATCATTTTCCTTTTTGGTCCGGACCAAACGAACCGAACTACAAGTGTGAACACACCCTTAGTGTTCTTTTCAAAAAAAGGAAAAGTTACATTTGAAAAGTTTATATTGTTTACACTGAAAATAGTTTTTTTTAAATTGATTACTGCGTTTATATTCTTATTTGATATGTTCCATTTTTTGTAACTACATAGTGATCTGTTGTAGTGATATACAGTAAATATAAAAATCGAGTTTAAAAAACTATTTCTGTAATTACAAACGACTGCGATTTGGTCCACACTGACCAGCACTGAGAAAAGTAACTTGTGCCATGTGACAGTCCGCTATATCTTCGATCAAGTTCAGTAAGAACTTCGAATTGCTGACGAACTATTTCTAACGGTGCTGAGTACTTATTTAACTATTTAACTATTCATGAACTGAGAAACCAAAATTCCATTCATCTTTTGACACATAAGAGGTCATTGTACTATAAAAACATTAAAACATTCTGAAAACTCAAAACTTTGTTATTAGTCTACAAACAGCTTATACTGAAAGCAGTACGTCAAAACGACAGCTTGTGGAATGTACAACTCTAAGATGTAATAGTGTGGATAAGCACCGCCTTAAATTAATTCTAAACAGTATGATCTATGAAGAAAAATTTGTACTAAACAATTATGACAAAATTATAAAAATATACAATGTATGTATATTTTGGACTGTACACCACTGGGTGGTGCTATACAACGAGTCTACTTTTGTGAAGTAGTAGGTAAAGTCTGGGAAATTAGTATTGGGTTGGTGTCTTTTTCCAAATTACTCGGACATTGTATATTAAAGACACATTTCTGCATTTGAGTTTTACAAAGATGTCTTTTATTTTGAGACAGGACTAGATATACATATGTCAAACATTTAAGCCAAAGTACCTTTTTGCAGCAGTATATTAATAATCAGCTAGTATAAAGTCACAGATCTGTATCAAGCATTTATTAGAAATGATGCTGTTCAGAGGCAGAACAGTACTTGACTTTACTGTGACCTGAGCTACAGGGACTAACGGGGAAGACCGAGACAATTCCCTGATATATCACATTGTTAAAATCCCTTCTATATAAAAACACCAAGCACTCTAGTTAGAAAAGCAAAGCTGCTGGCAATCAAACATTTCATTTTAATCTGAAAATAAAAAAACTCACAAAAAATACAAGAAGAAGACTTTTTGCCCTGTAAAAATGATGTCGACCTCAAAAGGACTTTGCAGCAGAGTCTACTCCAGTTACGAACATTTTACCTCAGTTGTAGACTTACGGCAATAAACTTGGGGTATGTTCACACTTGGCATGTTTGGTTCGATTAAAACAAACTCTGGTGCGATTGCTCTGTTAGTGCGGTTCGTTTGAGTAAGTGTGAACGCTACCATCTGAACCCTGGTGCGCACCAAACAAGCGGACCGAGACCGCTGAAAAGATGGGTCTCAGTCCACTTCCAAACGAGCTCTGGAACGGGTTGAATGATATATGAATGCAACACAGACCAAATACTTCTAAACGAACCAAAAACCGGAAGTAATGACAAGATGCGATGCTATGCAACCCGCAGCGCTGCTTTAAATCTAACGCACCTTTTGTTTGGGATGTTCTGTAAGTTTCGGCACGATATATACGTCATTCAAGCTGACCAATCAGGTTGTGAACGTATCACTATGCCTTTAGGTTCAGTGTCTTTAGGTTCGCTGTCAAAAAAGCCAATGTGAACGCTAAGAGGACCAGAACCCAAATGTATCATTTTCCTTTTTGGTCCGGACCAAACGAACCGAACTACAAGTGTGAACACACCCTTAGTGTTCTTTTCAAAAAAAGGAAAAGTTACATTTGAAAAGTTTATATTGTTTACACTGAAAATAGTTTTTTTTAAATTGATTACTGCGTTTATATTCTTATTTGATATGTTCCATTTTTTGTAACTACATAGTGATCTGTTGTAGTGATATACAGTAAATATAAAAATCGAGTTTAAAAAACTATTTCTGTAATTACAAACGACTGCGATTTGGTCCACACTGACCAGCACTGAGAAAAGTAACTTGTGCCATGTGACAGTCCGCTATATCTTCGATCAAGTTCAGTAAGAACTTCGAATTGCTGACGAACTATTTCTAACGGTGCTGAGTACTTATTTAACTATTAAAGGGGTCATGAACTGAGAAACCAAAATTCCATTCATCTTTTGACACATAAGAGGTCATTGTACTATAAAAACATTCTGCAAGTTTGAAAACTCAAAACTTTGTTATTAGTCTACAAACAGCTTATACTGAAAGCAGTACGTCAAAACGACAGCTTGTGGAATGTACAACTCTAAGATGTAATAGTGTGGATAAGCACCGCCTTAAATTAATTCTAAACAGTATGATCTATGAAGAAAAATTTGTACTAAACAATTATGACAAAATTATAAAAATATACAATGTATGTATATTTTGGACTGTACACCACTGGGTGGTGCTATACAACGAGTCTACTTTTGTGAAGTAGTAGGTAAAGTCTGGGAAATTAGTATTGGGTTGGTGTCTTTTTCCAAATTACTCGGACATTGTATATTAAAGACACATTTCTGCATTTGAGTTTTACAAAGATGTCTTTTATTTTGAGACAGGACTAGATATACATATGTCAAACATTTAAGCCAAAGTACCTTTTTGCAGCAGTATATTAATAATCAGCTAGTATAAAGTCACAGATCTGTATCAAGCATTTATTAGAAATGATGCTGTTCAGAGGCAGAACAGTACTTGACTTTACTGTGACCTGAGCTACAGGGACTAACGGGGAAGACCGAGACAATTCCCTGATATATCACATTGTTAAAATCCCTTCTATATAAAAACACCAAGCACTCTAGTTAGAAAAGCAAAGCTGCTGGCAATCAAACATTTCATTTTAATCTGAAAATAAAAAAACTCAATACTTTATGCATACATTTGCTCAATCAGCAAATATTACAGGACAAAAAAAAATAAATCTTGGGAACATTGTGAACTTGTCCATGATTTGAACATAACACTTGATTTCATTTGAAACATTACAGATTTTTACTCTAAAGTGAATTTTATTCATCCATGCCATAACACTTCATACAGTTTCTTACAATTTGGATCTAAGGCACCAGAAGAGACAAATCAGAATAGCATACTACTTACTGTATACTGCAGAAACAGTATGCATATGACCACTACATTTCCAGTGTGTAGGATTCAGTACGTAGTAAGCTACTGTTTCCTTCTGAACTCAAGTGTACTAACAAGTGAACTTTAGAGGATTAGCTCAGTACAAACTAAGTACAGCAAAAACACTATTTTTTGCTACACATTTACACATCAAACCACATTAATGTAAGCATCTGAACTTGTGAAAATAATAATTTACAAGAATGTAAATTGCAGCATGCAAATGTATTGACTAATTTCTGAAAATGACAGTATGAAGCAGGGAGTGCATTTTACAACGGCAATGGAGAGAGAAAATCTCGCTGGTTTTACAAACCATTTGGCTCGACTTACTTGTGTCACAGGCAGTTGTCGATGATCGATATCATCAGTACCTCTATTCTCTAAGGCACCAGAAGAGACAAATCAGAATAGCATACTACTTACTGTATACTGCAGAAACAGTATGCATATGACCACTACATTTCCAGTGTGTAGGATTCAGTAGGTAGTAAGCTACTGTTTCCTTCTGAACTCAAGTGTACTAACAAGTGAACGAGGCGGAGGATTAACTCAGTACAAACTAAGTACAGCAAAAACACTATTTTTTGCTACACATTTACACATCAAACCACATTAATGTAAGCATCTGAACTTGTGAAAATAATAATTTACAAGAATGTAAATTGCAGCATGCAAATGTATTGACTAATTTCTGAAAATGACAGTATGAAGCAGGGAGTGCATTTTACAACGGCAATGGAGAGAGAAAATCTCGCTGGTTTTACAAACCATTTGGCTCGACTTACTTGTGTCACAGGCAGTTGTCGATGATCGATATCATCAGTACCTCTATTCTTTACCTGAGACCTCGTGGAGCACAGTACAGTAAGCAGGTGAGGATCCCAAACACCCCGAGACGAGATGGCGATCAAAAATTGATTTTATGGCAAAAATATGGAAGCTTGTTTCCACCACGGAAAGAAAAGAAAAACAAGATAATTGCAATTTTTTAATCTCACAATTTGGACACTTTTTTTCCAGTTTCTTTTTTACGAGTTTGTCATAATTCTGACTTCCTTTTTCTTTACATCTCACAATTTTGACTTTTTGTCTCAGAATTCTGAGTATATATCTTGCAAAAGTTGAAGACCAAAGGTTGGTGGTCTGTTAAGAACATGTACTGTACTTAAAAAAATTATATAAAAATACCTCACCAATATTTTGAAATCTAAAATTGCTATAAAGTCAAAGACATATGTCTAACTATGCTATGTTCCAAATTTGAAGTTGATATCACAAAAGATTCCCGTGAGATTTTAAGCAGCATACCAAAAATAGCCACAGGGTAACACTCAAATACTTCAGTTTAATTTTTGATGCAGTTTCCGGTTTTCAATGATATTTATTTTTTTAATTTAGGATGATTACAAAAATATGTAATGGGGGGGGGGGAAAAAGTCTGCAAAAAAAAAAAAGAGTGCCAAGTGTCCATTCCATTTATCTTTCCGATCAGGGTGGAAATGCGCAGGTCCTCATGCTGAATTAAAAAGGAATGTGGAATTTACAACATTAATTCCCATGCAAATGTCGTTCCATGACAAATCTTTCCCCATATTTACATTGCACTGCATAAAACTTTAATTTCACATCTGCTATATATATATATATATATATATTAATAAAGGTTGCAAAGCTTCAGCATTTCCAGTTACAAACATAACCTTACTGTTTAAGTGCATCCCTTTACAGGAAAGTGGGTTCACGGGTACAGCTAGTTGCGTCGTATAAAAGTGACACGGGATGTTCAGGTTGACAACCATTTGCAGTGACAATACGACCTAAAGTTATTTGTTTTGAATAAGATGTCATTTTTTTGGTGACGACTGATGCTTTCAGCTTTCAATTTTATGCAAATGAGATGCAGCATGCTGTGGAACGAACAGCAGCCAAGAGACTCGATGACCTCCAGCAGTTTAATCACTGTCAGTGTGAACTAATTTTTAAATTTAATCACTTGCTTTACGAGGTTGCAAACCAAGATGCGTTTTCCAAGTACTTACTAAAAATCATTACACTTTTTTTTCTCATGCAAAAAATAGTTTTTTTTAAAGTGAAAATAGACAATAATATGTTATTGCAAGTAATTGTTCACAACTTCGGAACAGTAAAGCTGGTGACATGGAAAACAAAACATTCACAAGAAATTAACTGAAGGTGTTGGTTTACGAAGCCCCTAAGGGGACATGGTGATGGTGGTGACGACTGATGCTTTCAGCTTTCAATTTTATGCAAATGAGATGCAGCATGCTGTGGAACGAACAGCAGCCAAGAGACTCGATGACCTCCAGCAGTTTAATCACTGTCAGTGTGAACGCAGTTTTAAGTTGAATCACTTGCTTTACGAGGTTGCAAACCAAGATGCATTTTCCAAGTACTTACTAAAAATCATTACACTTTTTTTCCTCATGCAAAAAATTTTTTTTTTTGAAGTGAAAATAGACAATAATATGTTATTGCAAGTAATTGTTCACAACTTCGGAACAGTAAAGCTGGTGACATGGAAAACAAAACATTCACAAGAAATTAACTGAAGGTGTTGGTTTACGAAGCCCCTAAGGGGACATGGTGATGGAAAAAAATTAGATTGGATGACAAATGCTTTTGCTTTCTCTCGCAAAAATATTGCGATCCCCGAGTAGCTTTGCGTTCACTTGGAGAGCATTTGCGTTTTCTTGCAAACTATTTTGTTCCCCCGAGAAACTTTGCGGTTACTCCCAAAACATGTGTTCCCCTGAGAAGCTTTCTTGCGAACATTCTTTCGCAAAACATTTGCATTCTCTCACAAAAGTACTGCATTCCCCCGAGGAACTTTGCGTTTGCTTGTAAAACATTTGCATAAAACATTTACGTTCACCCACAAAATATTTGCATTCTCTCAGGAAACTTTGCAGTCGCTCAAGTCATTTGCATTCATTTGCAAAAGTATTGTGTTCCCCCCCAAAAAACTTTGCGTTTACTTGCAAAAGTATTGTTCCCCCCAAAAAACTTTGCGTTTACTTGCAAAAGTATTGTTCCCCCCAAAAAACTTTGCGTTTACTTGCAAAAGTATTGTTCCCCCCAAAAAACTTTGCGTTTACTTGCAAAAATATTGTGTTCCCCCCAAAAAACTTTGCGTTTACTTGCAAAAATATTGTGTTGCCCCCAAAAAACTTTTGCGCAAAAGTACTGCGTTCCCCAGAGAAACTGTGCGTTTGCTCTCAAAACATTTGCATTCTCTCGAAAAAGTACTGCGTTCCCCAGAGAAACTGTGCGTTTGCTCACAAAACATTTGCATTCTCTCGCAAAAGTACTGCGTTTTCCAGAGAAACTTTGTGTATGCTCACAAAACGTTTGCGTTCTCTCGCAAAAGTACTGCGTTCCCCAGAGAAACTTTGCGTTTGCTCACAAAACGTTTGCGTTCTCTCACAAAAGTACTGCGTTCCCCAGAGAAACTTTGCGTTTGCTCACAAAACATTTGCGTTCTCTCGCAAAAGTACTGCGTTCCCCAGAGAAACTTTGCGTTTGCTCACAAAACGTTTGCATTCTCTCGCAAAAGTACTGTTCCCCAGAGAAACTTTGCGTTTGCTCACAAAACATTTGCGTTCTCTTGGAAAAGTATTGCATTCACTAGCCAAAATTTCCGTTAACTCGTAAAACATTTGCGTTCTCACTAAATATTTGCATTTGCCTTTGCAATGTTTTGCGAAAGAAAACAATACTTTAGCAAGCATACTCAAATGTTTTTTTGAAGTTGAAGTTTCTTGGGGGAACAATACTTTAGTGACCAAACGCAAATGTTTTGTGAGCAAATGCAAAGTTTTTTGGGGCAATGCAATATTTTTAAGAGTGATCGCAAAGGTTTTTTGTTGGAACGCAAGATTTTTGTGAGCGAACAAAAATGTTTCGTGGAGTAACGCAAAAGGTTTGTAATCAAACTCAACATTTCTCAGATTTAATATTTTTTTATCTCCTATCCCTTGTTATTTAGGATCGCCATGTCCCTTTAGAGGCTCCATAATATTTCTAGGAATCCAATTTTTAGCTTAATTTTCGAATGGCTCTTTACACAATCTCAAAATTAATCTTACACAATCTAATCCATCAAATGCCCCTTTATGTACTATTACACTCTTAGGGCCGGTTCACAGAGTATGTTTTTGTGTTGAGTGCAGTCTCATGAGAGTCACCGTAAAACATGCGAGTGCAGTGGTCAAACATGTCTGTCTAGCGCATGTTTACATAGAAAAATAATGGAAAAGCGTCACAGTATAATGCAAAAAATGCGTTCTGTGTGAACGGACCCTTACGCAACAACCTTTTAACGTAGATAACTGCACATAGAGTTTATGTTTACAAAAGGCGGTATGACAGACATTTTTTCATTAGCTTCTGTTCCTGGTTTATATAGGGAAGTAAAAAACAATGAGATGTTTTTCACCACGACGTCGAGACTAGGCACTGTGGTTCTGAGAAAACGTCAAGAACGGAGAAGAGTGACAGACTACTGGAGGGACAGACAGACAAACGGTGTGAAACTTTTCCTTCAGACAGGAAGGAAATTAAAGCAAGCAAGGCTTTCTGGGTCACTGCACTGAATGTGTCCTTTAAAAATGGCTATATATTATAAAATGGTTATCAGAAACGGGCTCTCTGAGAACTCTTATTGTCATTAAACCAAATTTACATGAGGAAGAGCATGCAAACTCTACACAGAATGAAGCTCAAACCTCAAGATTCAGTACAGATCTGTGTTTAACTTGCATCAAGCCCAACAGACACCTGTGTTCAAACAACAGGAGTGTGGTTCGCTCAAATACTGAATGTTGCTTCAAAAAAGCCAACATTGCAAAATTGCAATTCGTGCAATATTTTTTGTGCAGTGTCATGCTTGCGGTATACATGCTGTAACAGTCCTCACTTGTCGTTTCCTCACTCCTTTAGCCCTTTAAACAGTAGATTACTGTAAAACCACACAACCTAGAGCACTTGTGCTCTGTCAGAAGGCATCGGTCCTGAGGTATTGATCTGCTTTGTATTTGAGCACTGCATTTTATAACTCGAAAACTGCAGTTACGGACTGAGACCGTAATACTGGGAGTGAGCCGATAAAACTATAAATAATGAATGTTTTTCACTATAACGGGAAAAAGTAACCACTTAAACATTCGCAAATGTTGAAATATGACTGAATTAAGATGAAGAATTCTGTGTCGTATTTGTTTTCCCAGGTTAACATGGGGGGGAAAAAAATAATTCTGTGTTCATAACAACGTTAACCATGAGGCAAAATCCCTGTAGCTTTGCAAAACGGTCAGTTTCACTAGTTATGGCAGATCTACGTGGAAGTCACTTGGGTGAAAACTGCGTGTTTAAAGCGTACACTATCAAAAGTTACCATGTCAATATTAAAAATTCATATTGCTGTATGAATAAGTTGGATTTTAGGGTTTCTATTCACAGTTTCTGGCCCAAGGGACCAGTAAGCATTTATAAAATATCCAAAAATCCTAAAACCACAGGATGCATTTTAATTGGCATTGTCTTGTTTTGTTCTCTTTAAACCAATAACCGCAGAAAGCATTGTTTAACTCAACGGTAATGAAGAGCCCTGATGTTCCTGGCGTTTTCATCCAGAAATCCCAAAAATTGTGGTTCACATGATGCCCCTTAATAAAAGATCACAGTGTAGCTGTGGAGGGGACTTGTTTTGAGGGCCCCTGAGAGAAACGGCCCTCTCCGAGCATGTCGTCTTCTAGAAATCAACCAGAAGAATGAGCCAAAGGCGGCTCAGTACATGTCTCTGTAAATCTCCTGCAGTAAGGGATGCAGCGAAGTGTCTTCTGTCTTTTTGATTTCCTGCACTAACTGAGCGTGCTCCGTCACCAGCTGCCGCAGGTCCACTAGTTTCTGCAGGAGTTTAGGGAAGAGGAATCCGTTGTCGGGATGGTTGCTCTTGAGGTGCAGATGAAGCACGTTTACGATGCTCTCCTGCATTCGCTCGATGTGCGGGACGTTCACCAGGCCAGGCCGATCTGGAAGACAAGACAGGGAAGAGCATGAGTCAAAAAAAAAAACACTGGCATGCAAAAGCTGATCTGCTCTTGTTAATACTTGTCTATTAGAATTTAAAAAAAAAGTTCTACAACACAGCACAGATTCCATCTAGCGGTTGCACTTTTTATGCCTATATTAAATTATTATTGCAAAAAGTAAAACATTTTAATAATAAAATAAAAATATCAAAATTTCATCATACATACGAGATTATATTTTTATTTTTAAACACATAAATAATATAAATTGATTAATTAAATATGGCATCAAATTTAAAAATATATAAATACAAATCTAATTGAAAAACATTTCATAAAAATAAAATCTTTATCTATCTATCTATCTGGCTATATATCTATCTATCTCTGTCTGTCTGTCTGTCTGTCTGTCTGTCTATCTATCTATCTATCTATCTATCTATCTATCTATCTATCTATCTATCTATCTATCTATCTATCTATCTATCTATCTATCTATCTATCTATCTATCTATCTATCTATCTATCTATCTATCTATCTATCTATCTATCTATCTATCTATCTATCTATCTATCTATCTATCTATCTATCTATCTATCTATCTATCTATCTATCTATCTATCTATCTATCTATCTATCTATCTATCTATCTATCTATCTATCTATCTATCTATCTATCTATCTATCTATCTATCTATCTATCTATCTATCTATCTATCTATCTATCTATCTATCTATCTATCTATCTATCTATCTATCTATCTATCTATCTATCTATCTATCTATCTATCTATCTATCTATCTATCTATCTATCTATCTATCTATCTATCTATCTATCTATCTATCTATCTATCTATCTATCTATCTATCTATCTATCTATCTATCTATCTATCTATCTATCTATCTATCTATCTATCTATCTATCTATCTATCTATCTATCTATCTATCTATCTATCTATCTATCTATCTATCTATCTATCTATCTATCTATCTATCTATCTATCTATCTATCTATCTATCTATCTATCTATCTATCTATCTATCTATCTATCTATCTATCTATCTATCTATCTATCTATCTATCTATCTATCTATCTATCTATCTATCTGTCTGTCTGTCTGTCTGTCTATATATCTGTCTGTCTATCTATCTATCTGACTATCTATCTATCTGACTATCTGTCTGTCTATATATCTGTCTGTCTATATATCTGTCTGTCTGTCTATATATCTGTCTATCTGTCTGTCTATCTATCTATCTGACTATCTATCTATCTGACTATCTGTCTGTCTATATATCTGTCTATCTGTCTGTCTGTCTGTCTGTCTATCTGTCTATGTATCTATCTGTCTGTCTGTCTGTCTGTCTGTCTATCTATTATATATCTGTCTATCTGGCTATCTGTCTGTCTGTCTGTCTGTCTGTCTGTCTGGCTATACATCTGGCTATACATCTATCTATCTATCTGTCTCTGTCTATCTGTCTGTCTGTCTGTCTGTCTATCTTTTATATTAATAACTAGAAATAAATATATAGAAATATATATGTATCCATTCATCTATGTATTTTATATATATATATAAATGTGTAAATTAATGAATTAAATATAATATATATCACCGCTGAAAAACATTTCAGAAAATATCTTATATAATATAAATATATATATATATATGAAACTGTCAAAATCATAAAATAGAATAAGCATCTAAAAATAATAATATAAAGAAAAAATATATATTAGTAAAAGTATCTATTTATAAATAATACATAAATAATGAATGAATGAATACCTGTATATATAATAAATAGAACAGAAAAACATTTCATAAAAATATCTTAATATAATAATACTATTTATAATAGTATAATAATAATAATATTGTTTAATAATATAATGTAATACAATATACACACATTTTATTTTATAAAAGTTTTAAACCAATATACCTCCACAGCAGATGATGGCAGCAACAAACAGTGCGAGGTCACTATCGTCCAGTTCGAGGGAGTTAAACTTCATTGCAAACTGAAACTTGGGCTCCATCATTTCACTGAACGGCCGTCGCAAGCTCTTCAGGAACTCTCTGGTGATGAAGCCGCTGCCGTACGCGACCAGCAGACCGTCTTTATTCATGCATGATGCCAACATGGCGAAGAGCGCCTCATGGACGCCGTACTTTAATAATGTCACCTGTCGGAGAAAACAGGCTGCATTCAGTGAAGATGTTTATGCAATATGTGCATATCTGAAGATTTTCACTTTCATGAAGTTTGAAGTGTTTACGGGACGTGGTGCTCGTTTTCGGCACTAACCTGGTCATTTAAATCCAGGTTTGAGAAGCCTGGCACGGACTTGGCGAATTCAGTCAGTTCGGTCACCGTCTCGACCGAAGTGCACTGACAGCAGTGGAATATTCGCACTTCTGCGTCTTTATTCAGCAGAGCCCCAGAAGAGCTCACCATCTTGGCCACAAGAGTCTGTTCGGCCAACTGCAGCGTCTCCATGTCGTGGATGACAAAAGGCTACAACACAATGAGAATGAAGCATGAAGATCAAATTAAGAATAAACTGCTGTATAGTGGTCGATAGGTTTTTCAATGGCAGATGACAATATCTAGAGTAAAGGGAGACAGCTGGGCAAAAAAGAAAAATTAATTCAATACAATTTTAAAAAATTAATTAAATTCAATTAAATTAAAGAAGACAAGCACTGTTCTACCAACATCCTATTTCAATAATCTGAAAAATAAAAAATAATAAAATATAAGTATGTATTTGAAACCGATTAAAATACTGGCTATACTGTATAGAGAGAGAACAAGTTCAAGCCTATTTTCAAGAATTATATATACATTAGGGCTGTCAGTCGATTAAACATTTTAATCTAATTAATTACATGATGTGTTTGTAATTAATGTAAATTTGGCTGTGATATTGCCCACAAAAAATTATTTAAAGTCATTATTGTGTTAAATGAGAAAGTATCAAGTAGACATTACAAATTGTAGCTTTAGACAGAAATATTTTATTTGATTCAACATAAAATTGTTAATACATAATTGTTTACTCTACAGTGGCCTAACATGAACTTATAGAACATAAAAGAAGATAGTTTGAGAAACATCTCACTATTTTGTGCTCATACAATGAAAGTCCAAAACAGCTTATTTAAAGGGGTCATATGATGCGATTTCAATTTTTCCTTTCTCTGCGACAGTTCGCGAGAGAGACCGAAAATGTGCGTGAGAGAGACCGAGTGCGTCTGGGAGAGAGCGAGAGTGCGCGAGAGAATGCAGACAGGGTTTTATGTTTACGTGGCGCGATGCAACGCAATGCGTAAAAAGACAGTATAAGTCATTATAATCAGTAATTA